TTCAGGCCTTAGATCATCTCCCAGGTCCTGCACCTCCATGCCTCAATTCAGCCCCAATTCCTGCACCATCAGACCTCAGATCAGCCCCAATTTCTGCACCTTCAGACCTCAGTTTAGCCTAAATTCCTGCACCTTCAGGCCTTAGATCATCCCCAATTCCTTCACCTTCACCCCTCAGATGAGCCCCATTTTCCTGCACCTTCAGACCTCAGTTTAGCCCAAACTCCCATGCCTTCAGGCCTTAGATCAACCCCAATTCATGCACCTTCACAGCTCAGATAAAGCCCCATTTCCTGTAGCTCCAAACCTCAGATAAGCCCCATTTCCCATTCCTCCATGGCCTCAGATCATCCCCAGTTCCTGTACCTTCAGATCTCCAATTGATCAGTCCCAATTCCTGCACCTTCAGATCTCAGATCAGCCCCAGATCCCACAGCTTTGGACCGCAGATCAGCCTCAAATCCTGCACCTTCACAATTCTGATCAGCCCCAATGCATACACCTTTTAGATCTCAGATCAGCCTCAAATCCTGTATCTTCAGACTTCAAACCAGCACCAAATCTTGCATCTTCAGGCTGACCTATTCCGGTACTCAAAGGAGGCCTGACACATGACTGTCAGTGATGTGAGGTGGGCACCTCTGAAATGTCGTCGAGGTTGGTTTGTAAGGCTTGTCATTTGTGTGGGTGTTACCAACTACGCCATTTTGTGGTTGGGGTCTAACATGCCCATGCACTAGGGGTAACTCTGGCCAATGGTGTGTTCATCAATGTCTGGGACTGGCGGGAACTGTGGTCATGTGGAAAGTCTAAGATTAGGCAATTTAGAGATGAGCTGACACTGCAAGTAGTATAAAGCCATATTCTACTCTATCAAGAGCTGTCCCATTGCTCTAGTCCCAGTGTGTTACATGTGTTGTGCTCGGGGTAGTAGCGGGTGGAACCATGCCACTCTACCAGCCAGTGTACCTCCACTACCTCACTCCCAGTAACGGAATGAAAGCCCACCGGACACAAAGCACGGGTCTCATGTGTGTCTTAAGTCAACTCTCTCTCTGTACCACACAGTCAGGATAAGGATCTCTGTAATACTGGTCTTATTCCCCTTGCTATGGGAGATGGACCGCTGAGGGGGGAGATACCTCACCTTCCCTAGGTATCAAACTTCGACTGGTTACCTGTGAAGGGAAAGCAAGTACCTAGTTTTAACAGGTATCCGCTCCCACTTTTGGCTGAGTTCGCAAACTGAGCCAAAATTTCGGCACCCCTCCCGCAGCCCTCTGGGACACTTCCAAAGTCCCAGAGGACTGCAGCCCATTCACAAAGTGGCATGCAGTAAGAAACTGGTGGTAAAGCTGCACTGCTGGTTTCCCTTAGTCAAGATGGCAGCGCCAGCACCCGACAACTGATTGAAGAATTGGCTCGGTGAGGACACCGCTGGATACCAGGACAGGTAAGTGGCCTACCATTAAAATTCAGCAGCCACATTATTTGTAGCTGCTTTTAATTTTACTTTAAATTTTTTTAGGGAGGTGGCGGGGGCCGGAACTTCACTTTAAACAGGGTTCAACCTACTTACAGGTGGGCCATTGGTGCAGAGGGGCAGGCCATGCTTTGTAACTGACAACAACACTGTATTTGTAGGGAGAAGAGGCCCCCCAGAGGATCCTTCAGCCCTTTCGATGGGTCGGTCCAAACTGGGACCATGATCTCCCAGGTGCCACTAAAAACAACATTAAGTCCCTTGCTCTAAGCAGTGACATTTGGCAACTGTGAATGCCCTCGCCTTATCATTTCATTGCCCTATTCTACATTTACTGTTAGCTCAGGGGAAGCGAAGGGGTTAAGCTGAGCAAAACTCATTTGCAAACTTGGAAAGAGAAAAGGGATTTCTGCCAAAACTTTCCTCACGCAGAAATGAAAGCTGACAACTTTTAGTGATAAAGTGGTATGTAATCCATGTAACTGATCGGCTGCCAGCCCTGGAGCTGCTCACCTCTGCTGACTTTGACAAAACATTGACTCATTGCAGATTGCCGTCCTGAATAGCGGTATGATCATTATATTCCTAGGTAAAGGTTGCAGTATTGTCATCACCAGGGCCAGCTTTAGAAAATTACAGGGCCCCAACCTGCTTGACAGGTCAACCCATCTTGAAAACAAACATCTGTGTCTCTACCTTGCTAGTTACATCTTTGCTTTGAGAGCCTTTGTAGCGTCATGAGCCTGGATATGGTAGAAGCTTGAACATTTGGGGAAATTTAATTATTAAATTGGATGTCAAATTGGGAGAAGGCAGCCTCTGCTGGGCCTGGGCTCCCTGCTGACCTGGAGCTAGTGTGGGACCATTGTCAATCTGCTGCTTTTACTTTGATGTCCAATCACAGTCTGGGGGCAGAGATGTGACCAGGCCAGGGGCGGACTGACCATTTGGAAACTCGGGCACTGCCCGAGGGCCCGGAGTCAGTAGGGGACCCCATGAGATGCCTGTTACCTTTTTCATAGGCTTTTTTGAGTTTGGGCAAGGACACAGGGGCCCCATGATCCCCTATTGCCCGGGGGCCCCATGAGTTGTCAGTCCACCCCTGGACCAGGCTTTATAAGCAAAACAATAGCGGAGAAAAGGTCACAGAGATAGTTGTGCTGTCTACCAGAGAAGTGTAAATCTTTGGCTCAGTTTCTGTGTAACTGGAATGGAGCCTGGACCCCAGCCCAGGTAGGGTTACCACATGTTATTATTATTATTCAGGATTTATATGGCGCCAACAGTTTGCTCAGCACTTTACAATATAACGGGAGACAATACAGAAACAATACAGTTCAATACAAGAGGGATAGGAGGGCCTGATCCTGGGAGCTTACAATCTAGGACATGTGCTGTATTCAACCAGCCAGCCTTTTAAATTTGTTGCCAATGTCATTAATAGGGAAGGGATCATAAGGCAGTTATTTTTTGAAGACCTTAGGCCTAGGCTGTACATAGGACTGCCCTGGCTGGTACTTCTCCCAATGTAAGCCGTGTACTGGGGTGGGCTCCCCAGGATACAGTGAAGTCACGAACAAGGAAAACAACCCCAACACCAGCTTTTGCCACAACAGAATTTTACTTGTGGCAAATAAACACAACCACAAATGCTGGAAACATACAATAAATTTACATACACCCAGCCCAAAGGTTGAGACCCTTGTGCTGCACAGCACGGCGCCTCCTGATGGATGAAGGTAGAAAGTGAAGTAATTTACCTACTGGGGGGCACAACTAAGCTGCCACACCTTACCTGTTATTACCCTAAAAGAGCAGGAATCAGTGTATGGGTGTACGGTATGGGCTAGTCTGCGGTGCAGCACAACAGCTTACAATCTTACACAAATCTACAGTATTCCCTCTCCCATAACTGGTCCTGTAGCACGTGCTTGAGTATTCCTTCTGAGCAAAATGCCAGTCTGGCTTGAGTTTGTAGGATTTTATCAGCTCTCCAATGTGAAATGTCACTTTAAGTTGTGGAGTCCTTCCAATAATCAGTAACAACACTTGTGGCCTGACACAAACAGAGACCCTAACTATCTATAGGCCTGGACTCAGTCTGGAGGCGCCAACACTGAAATGAGGTGCATGCACGATCTTACCGACCCGGGTCTGCTTTGCATCCACTAGTGACTCTGAACAGAACAAATGTCTCTCCAACAAGCATGTGGTCACGCTGTATATGTTGCTTAGTTCCTCTGCTCTCATCAGCCTTCCTGGCAGCAATCTCATCAGCTTCCTGGCAGCAAATCTGATCAGCATTCCTAGCAGCAATTTCATCAGCTTCCTGGCAGCAATCTCATCAGCTTCACTCAGCTGCAGTTCTGGTTACCTGAGGGATGCTTTCACACCTGGATGTCATCAGATACTCAGCTCACACGGCCCCTTATTCACCATGCTCCAAACATGGCTTCTCTCTCTCCTTCCTGTTCTCTCCAACTCTGTGTGCAAAACCCCACCTCTTCATGAATATACAAATATCTATGCAGTCTGAGGCTGTGTTAGAAAAACAGTGACATCTTGTGGCTAAACCGCAGAATGTCAGTCAAAACATTAATTTACTTCCACACAAACAGTGTTCAAACAATGAGAGCTGTTTCCCCATCTCACACCAACATAATACCTAAATTGCTTTGGTATGAACAGAGGCTGGAGTTACAGTGGGGAGAATACCCAACAGATATAAAAAGCCAAAGAGTAACCAGACTCCATTTATATCCTAAATCCATGGTGGAATGCAGGGGTAAATGTGACTTCAGCAGAAGGCTATGGGATTGGTTTGAGTCGGGATGCCAACTGTACCACCAAGAGAGGTACTAGGGCTGTCTAAGTGACACGGTCAGGCAATGTCCACATGGTGAGATTTCATGGCAGAGGAACCATTAGATCATTTCTAACCATCGTCTGATATATAATGCTGGGTAACAGTGAACGTCTACCTTAACATGAACTCTTTGGGGGCTATTTACTAAACCTGGAGACTACAAAATCTGGTGCAGCTCTGCATAGAGACCAGTCGGCTTCCAGTGTTGCCTTACTGCGTTAGGGTGCCATACCAAATAAATGGCACCACAATGCGCTGACACACGTAATATGTGCACATTGCACCAGGAAGGTGTGGATGGGCCTCTTAGTCCGATGGGGTATCAATGAAACTGAATGGCACTGCAACACACCTACTCAGCTGGCCTAAAGCATAACACACAAAAGTCATGGCAAATACACTAAATTGGCTATAAAAAAGGCATAATATTTGGGACAAAAGGAACATCACACTAAACAGCAGTGTCCAATCCACACTGCATTTAATCCAAAAAATGGAACCCAACTGGTTAACGTGTTTCGAGGACTCAGCCTCTTCCTCAGAGCCCTCAAAATGCATTAGCCTGTTAGAAGTCCAGGGTTCCATTTTTGGACTTAGATGCAGTGTGGATTGGACACCGCTGTTTAGTGTGATGTGCCTTTGTCTTATATCCTAGACTCCCATCTGTCCTTTCAGCCCCAAATCCAATCACTGTCCAAATCTTGTAGACTTCACCTCCACAACATCTCCAAGATACGCCCGTTCCTAACCTCGGAAACCACTAAGCAACTTATTCACTCCCTTGTTATCTCTCACCTTTACTATTGTAACTCCCTCTTCATTGGCTGACTTCATCGCAGGCTATCCCCTCTTCAGTCTATCATGAATGCTGCTGCCAGACTCATCCACCTTACTAACCGTTCCATATCTGCCATCCCTCTCTGCCAATCCCTCCACTGGTCTCCACTCAGTGTCCTCCACCCCTCTCTGCCAATCCCTCCACTGGCCTCCATTCAGTGTCCTCACACCGTCCTCCCTCCACTGGTCCCACTCAGTGTCCTCCACCCCTCTCTGCCAATCCCTCCACTGGCCTCCATTCAGTGTCCTCCACCCCTCTCTGCCAATCCCTCCACTGGCCTCCATTCAGTGTCCTCCACCCCTCTCTGCCAATCCCTCTATTGGCCTTTATTCAGTGTCCTCCACCCCTCTCTGCCAATCCCTCCACTGGCCTCCATTTAGTGTCCTCCACCCCTCTCTATAATCCCTCCACTGGCCTCCACTCATTGTCCTCCACCCCTCTGTATAATCCCTCTACTGGCTTCCCGTTGCCCAACGGATAAAATTCAAAACATTACAATAACATCAGGGGTGGACTGACAACTCATGGGGCCCCCTGGCAATAGGGGATCATGGGGCCCCTGTGTCCTCACCCACACTCAAACCACACCCAAAAAAAGCCCATGAAAAGTACTAGGGGCATCTCATGGGGCCCCCTACTGACCCTGGGCCCTCAGGCAGTGCCCGAGTACCCAAATGGTCAGTCTGCCCCTGAATAACATATAAAGCCATTTATAACTCCGCCCCAAATTACATCACCAATCTTGTCTCCAAATATCACCCAAACCGTCCTCTCCGCTCCTCGCACTTCCTCCTGCTCTCTAGCTCCCTTGTCTCCTCCTCCCATGCTCATCTCCAGGACTTCTCCAGAGCTTCCCCGATCCTCTGGAACTCTCTACCCCAATCTATCAGGCTATCGCATACTCTGCTCACTTTTAGGCGATAATGGAATCTTCTACTCTTCCTACCAGTCCATCCCCCACAGTTACTACCATTTGTACCACTAGCCCCTCCCTCCTAGATTGTAAGCTCCAAGGATCAGGGCCCTCCTAACCCTCTTGTATTGAACTGTATTGTTGCTGTATTGTCTCCCGTTATATTGTAACGCGCTGAGCAAACTATTGGCGCCATATAAATCCTGTATAATAATAATATGTCCATTGTGAGTACGATACTTACTTTTTATCCTTTTAATAAATATTTTTTATGATAATGCACTAGGCCGGTGCTCCTCTTTTTGTTTTCTTTGTATTCAGTGACTTCGGACTACCCTCGGTCCATTGAGGGCAGAAAGGAGTGCATATTCCAGCACATCTGAATTGTTATCTTAGCCTCTGCTGAGTCCATCCCCAGCGCAGGAGTACAGAGTTTGCTGTGTTTGCATAACATTTGGGGCCTGGAGTTGGAATTACGATGGTGTACCCACCCTAGGCTCAAGGTTTGCAGATGGGACCCTCAGTGCTAGTTTGTACTTCATATCATGACAGGTTCTCTTTACTATGGAAGCAAACTTCCAGCAGCTGGGCCGCAGATTGCTGGGTGTGACGGCATGCTGGTTAGGCCGACATTTATTTACATTCCATTACCTCGTATGAAGGCGTGCGGTATGCAGTCATCCCCTGGCATGATAAACACTCCATTATATAGGCGAGGGGGGCTACCGGTCTGGGGCCTCTACTGACACCATGAAACTCTAAGCTTTGGCCAACCATCCTGCAGCAACCAATCACATCTGCCGCTCTCTGCACGTCACCGCTGTGCTGCTATGCTCTTCTTAGGGCACATTTTACATCTATGTGTTGCAGCAATGTATGCATGAATGCAATGTACAACGAAGCAAGTTACATGCATTGCTGTACCTTTCATTATGAATGGCAACCCAATGCAAAAGGCAACACACCATAGTACACATCACTAGGAATTCTGCGATACGCCCGAACTTTGGACTGTTTTGGGGCATTGGTAGCCCATTGATTCGAATGGCCCTAATGTGAGTAAACAGCAGCAACATAAATGGGTCCTTATCACACCAGAGGAGCCAAATTTGCAGACTGGAGCAGAATTGCACCAGCGCCCCCCTCAGGATTCATTGTCCCCCTTTCACGTCAGAAGCCCCCAATTTCATCAGAGCCACCCTTTCATATCAAAGACCCCCCTCCCCCAATCACATCAGTGTACTCCTTTCACATCAGAAGCCCCCATCTCATCAGAGCCACCCTTTCACACCAAAGCCCCTCATCACATCTGTGTACCCCTTTCACATCAAAAGCCCCCAATTTCATCAGAGTCACCATTTCACATCAAAGCCTCCCCATCACATCAGAGTCACCCTTTCACATCAGAAGCCCCCAATTTCATCAGAGTCACCCCTTCACATCAATGTCCCCCAATCACATTAGTGTTCCCCTTTCACATCAGAAGCCCCCATTTTATCAGTGCCCCTCTTTCACACCAAAGCCCCTCATCACATCTGTGTACCCCTTTCACATCAAAAGCCCCCAATTTCATCAGAGTCACCGTTTCACATCAAAGCCCCCCCATCACATCAGTGTCCCCTTTTCACATCAGAAGCCCCCAATTTCATCAGAGCCACCTTTTCCCATCAAGGCCCCCCATCACATCAGTGTCCCCCTTTCACATCAAAGCCCCCCATCACATCAGTGTCCCCCTTTCACATCAAAGCCCCCCATCACATCAGTGTCCCCTTTTCACATCAGAAGCCCCCATCTCATCAGAGCTACCCTTTCCCATCAGAAGCCCCCAATTTCATCAGAGCCACCCCTTCACATCAAAGTCCCCCCATCACATCAGTGCCCCCTCTTCACATCAGAAGCCCCCAATTTCATCAGAGCCAGCCTTTCACATCAAAGCCCCCCATCACATCATTGTCTCACTTTCACATCAAAGCCCCTATCAAATCATTGTCCCCCTTTCACACCAAAGCCCCCATCACATCAGTGTCCCCCTTTCACATCAGAAGCCCCCAATTTCATCAGAGCCAGCCTTTCACATCAAAGCCCCCCTCGTTACATCAGTGTCCCCCTTTCACATCAGAATCCCCCAATTTCATCAGAGCCAGCCTTTCACATCAATGCCCCCCATCACATCAGTGTCCCCTCTTCACATTAGAAGCCCCCAATTTCATCAGAGCCAGCCTTTCACATCAAAGCCCCCCTCGTTACATCAGTGTCCCCCTTTCACATCAGAATCCCCCAATTTCATCAGAGCCAGCCTTTCACATCCAACCCCCCCCCCCACCACCCATCACATCAGTGTCCTCCTGTCACATCAGAAGCCCCCAATTTCATCAGAGCCAACCTTTCACATCAAAGCCCCCTTCATCACATCAGTGTCCCCCTTTCACATCAGAAGTCCCCATCTCATCAGAGCCCCTCTTTCACACCAAAGCCCCTCATCACATCTGTGTACCCCTTTCACACCAAAAGCCCCCAATTTCATCAGAGTCACCGTTTCACATCAAAGCCTCCCCATCACATCAATGTCCCCCTTTCACATCAGAAGCCCCCAATTTCATCAGAGCCACCCTTTCACATCAAAGCCCCCCCATCACATCAGTATCCTCTCTTCACATCAGAAGCCTCCATTACATCAGAGCCCCCTTTCATATTAAAGCCCCCCATTACGCCAGAGCTCCCCCTTTACATCAGAAGCCCCCCATCACATCAGAGTCCCCTCTTCACACCAGAATCCCCCCATTGTATCAGAGCCCCCCTTTCACATCAAAGGCCTCCATTACAACAGAGCTCCCCCTTTTACATCAGAAGCCCCTATTTCATCAAGGTCCCCCCTTCACATCAGAAGCGCCAATTACATCAGAGTCCCTCTTTCACATCAGAAGCCCCCCATCACATCAGAGTCCCCTCTTCACACCAGAATCCCCCCATTGTATTAGAGCCCTCCTTTCACATCAAAGCTCTCCATTACAACAGAGCTCCCCCTTTTACATCAGAAGCCCCTATTTCATCAAGGTCCCCCCTTCACATCAGAAGCACCAATTACATCAGAGTTCCTCTTTCACATCAAAAGCCCCCATCACATCAGAGTTGCTGCAAGCTGGGTAAAATCGTGTAGCAGGCCAGATGGGGCTCACTAGCCATAGTTTGGGGACCCCTGTATTACAGGTATTCATGTAGCGTCTACAATTTACACTGTGCTTTACATATACTGTACATTCACATCAGTTCCTGAATTCAAGGGGTTTCCAGTCTAAGGTCCCTGAAACCCCACATGCATACCTACACATACTAGGGCCAATTCAGACCGGAACTAATTACCCTACCAGCATGTCTTTGGAGTACAGAAAGAAACCTACTCAAGAACATGCAAACTCCATGCAGGTGTCATGGTTGGGATACAGACTGATGATGGCAGAAGAACTAACCACTAAGCTGATACTACATTAATTGTAGGCTTTGGACATTGGTGATAGGTGATATTACAGTATATGTAAATCATCTAAAGACTCCATAACTTCATTGTCCTTGTTGTCCGTCCGTCTGCAGGACGGTCCTCCCATTTTTCCACCTCGTCCTGCGTCTCTGTGTTCTGCAGAATGTCCTGACAATAATATCAACTGTACAAAAGCCACAACGTACCACAAGCTCTGTCAGTAAAAAGTTGTATTACAGGGGAGGGCAGATCTTATGCAGGCCATAGACGGGTCGAAAATCGGACGGTTTTTGCACCGTTAGTGGGTTAATTGGTTGGCCGTTTTTGGGGTTTTGGCACATTTTTTTATCGGTGAAGTTGGAAAAAAATCGGCCGATCTTTTTACCGATAAAAAATCTGCGTATGAGCCGTGACCTGCAAGAAGAAGAAAAAGAAGCAGAAGAAAAAGAAGAAAAAGAGTAATAAAAAGAAAAAGAAGGAGAAAAGAAGAAAAGAAGAAGAAGAAGAAGAAGAAAAGAATAAAAAGAAAAAGAAGAAAAGAAAAAGAAGAAAAAGAATAAGAATAAGAATTCCAGTCCGCTATTATATTTGACATGAAAAAGTATTGCGGTTGCAACAATGTATCTATTTGTATCCGAATAAAACCATCTGTATCCAAAATGGATACAAATAGATACATTGTTGCAACCGCAAGACTTTTTCATGTCAAATATATTAGCGGAGCTCTCTGCAGGAACAGAAGTAATTAAATGCCGACTGTAGACGGGACGAAAATCGGGCGATTTTTTTTTGCTGTTGGTGGTAACGTCGGCCTATTGAACGACCGTTTTTTTCGTTTTTTTTTTTTTTTTAAAATGGACGGTTTTTGACCCGTCTATGGCCTGCATTATTTTAGGCCTATACAGCCCATAATAACATTTGTCTGGGCGCTCTA